TGCAGACACACAAGTTTTGTAAGTACAAGACTTGGTGCATGTTTGCATCCATTTCTGGAGGCTGCAGGGATGTTGCCATGTGCTTGGACAATTGTACTAAACATTAACGGAATGCTGAGTTTGCTCCTACTTTGATCTCAAAACCCTTTTCTTGTTTTGGGGGGGTTCACTATTAAATGTTCCCCATTTCCATATATTTTCATCCTGGTTTCCCCTTCTTAGTTGATTTTATTATGTAGGAGTTTTAGCTGAGGAAGGTAATAACTGAGCTTGTGTAGTTGTGTTAAATCAGGTTAATAAGACCTGGAGTTGAATTCACAGCTCTCTCGGGCATTGATAACCACTTCGTGCTAGGAAATCTTTCTCTGTGGTCTGGGTTTATGTCTCTAGACATGGGAAAGGAGGCATATTTAGTTTGTTGCATTTTCTAAAAAGTATTACCCGTGAAAGATGTATGAAAAGTAACTCAAAATTAGGGATAGTTTTTCTTTTGAGATAAATTAAATTACCAAGGTTTTAATTTACTTAGGTCATTCTTACTAAATAGCATTTCTGACCAAATTTAGTCAAAATTAGAAAAATCTGCTTAATAATCCTTTTACTTATTAGATATTTTCCCACTAAATTACTTTAAAGTTAAAAACAAAAAGTTTGCATGAATGACTGTGAAAAATAAAATTGTCTTTAAGCTTAATGATAGATTCTCGTTTTTTACTCACTTGTGTTTTTGTTATAACTACCAGGTCATACATTGACAAGTCATATATTTTAGCCGTTATTTTTAAAATATTTTCACTCATCATAATTACTGTAACATTGTTTTTAAAGTTAGTCATCTTTCAGTTTTCTATGTCTTCCATATTTAGTTACATTAACCAGGAGAAATTCAATTCCAGGTATATTTATTGCTTTCCCTTTTTTGTTTGGGCGTCCATTTATGCCTGAGTCTTGCCAAATACTATGCTACAACTGACCACCAAAATTATTTGTCTCAAAAACTCCTGAAATTTCATTTATTCCAAGAAATGTATTGAAACCAATTAGAAGACTCTTACTGATTTCCCTCTTTATACATTTCCATGTAAATTTGCATCATACACTATCCTAATTTACTTTTACCTTTTTACTTCCATCACCTTTAAAATAATTTGTACATTAAAAAATATATACCCCCAAATGCACTTCAGTATTATGTTCAGTAATTCTTTTAATCAGCAATTTTACTTCAAGGAATAGTCTCTCCCCTCTAGTATACTAAAAATTGTGTACAAGGGCATTCATTGCAGTGCTATTTGTAATACAAAAAACTGGGAACATTATACTGATTGATAGTGGGCAGGTCAAATTACGGTATATCCATATTTTGTATCAAGTAAGTCACACTAAATAATTGTTTGTTGACTGAATTAAGGAATATATTGTTAAGTAGAAAAAGTGCAGGTACAAAACAGTTTATATTTTGTGGAATAAAAAGATGGATGTAAATGGACAGTATTCATTTATTCTTGATGCATATAACATTTCTAGAATCATACAATAAACTGCTAACATTACCAGTGGTTACCAATGGGTCATAGGAACGGGCTTGAGTAGAGAGTACAGTATTTACTTTTAACTCCAAAAAGGAAAAACAAAGCAAAGCAAGACTAACTTCAAATGGAGAAGAGCCAGAAAAATAAAATGATTGCAAAAAATGTACATACCCTAGTTGGTTGAATCTTGTTTCCCACTTCTTTAGATAGCATTCTTATCCCACTCTTCTTACTTTCTGGTTTGCCTCTGTGCTTTGCCTTCTATTTAGAAATGCCTTTTCTCTTGCACAAATCTTTTTCCTTCAAGATTCTATTTAAGATCTAATGCCTTCATGAAACTTTGCTAGACTATTCCATTTCAAAGAAATCTTTCTCTTAGACATATGCTTAGTTTTCATCAGTATATGATTTCACACTTATTCATTCAGTAATAATTTCACTTAATTATTTTTCTTCCAACTGTATTTAGGTATAGATTTAGAGAAGTTTCTTGCCTCTGTTAATTTGCTTTGTATAACATCCAGCATTACCAATCAGTGTTTAAAGAATTTTTTTCTTGATAATGTTAAAACTTAATCTAGAGCCGAAACCGGTTTGGCTCAGTGGATAGAGCGTCAGCCTGTGGACTGAAAGGTCCCAGGTTCGATTCCGGTCAAGGGCATGTACCTTGGTTGCGGGCACATCCCCAGTAGGAGATGTGCAGGAGGCAGCTGATCGATGTTTCTAACTCTCTATCTCTCTCCCTTCCTCTCTGTAAAAAATCAATAAAATATATTTTTTAAAAAAACTTAATCTAGAAAGAATGCCTATCCCATTTAAACCATCTTAAATAGTAAAAGGCGAAAGATTTATGCGATCTGAAGAGAAACCAGAGTAAAACCATCTTAAATAGTTAGGGATTTTCCTAAAAATATATTCAAAGTAACATTTTATTAGCAGGATATCACTAAGACATACTAGAGTAATGTTTTTGACATTTAAAAAAAATACTACAAATTATACCTCAAATTTATATGGAAAAATACATGGAATCAGAATTGCCTATATTTTTAAGTTGTCATCTAGCCCAACGAGGAACTTTTTACTCATTAGCTATAGTAGATTTAATACCATAAGCGCATAGTTATGTATACTTGAAGCATTCAGGATTGTTTTGTCTTCTTGGTAAATTGGCTTTTTTATCATTATAAAATCTTTCTATCTCTAATAATAATATTCTTGTCCTGAAACCTACCACTCCAGCTTTCTTATGACTAGTGTTTATATCATTTTTATATTTTTTTAATGTTAACTTATCTGTATCTTTAAATTTACAACTGTTAACTCTTGTAAACAGCATGTAATTAGGTCTTGCTTATTATCCAGTTTGACAATCTCTGCCATCTCATTGGAGTGTTTAGCCATTTATATTTAATGTAAATTAGCTTTATCCTTTGAAAATTGATCTTTTTAGATTTGTTAGGGTAAATTTTAGAATACAGTAATTATTACTCTGGGTTAGATATACCGTATTTGCCGGCGTATAAGACGATTTTTTGGCCCTGAAAAATATGCCTCCAAGTGGGGGGTCGTCTTATACGCCAGGTACACTTCAGATAGACTGCCCATAGTGCTTGCCCCGTGCCATAGTGGCCTCCCGATGCCCGCCCACTTCATTCCACATACCGTTCAGGCATCAGCAGCGCTGCTGGGT